TCTTTGGGCCATCATCATAGCCCATTCCCTACCTTTCTTTCACAACTTCTCACGCATCAAAATCAAATTTTACGTAGTTTACCAGGGCTCTGTTTCCCTGCTAAAGTAGCTCCGCTAATGGGTATATACATTAATCTTAAATCAAAACAAAGAGATCACTTTTTTTTTGTTTTTGTTATGGACTCAGGAAATGGAAAGGCCATGGGAAGCTTGACAGGAAATAGCATAGGAGTAGTGGCAAAAAGGCAAAGGATTTGGAGAATTTTCGAAGCTCTTGGAATCATGGCTTTTGCCTACTCTTCTTCCAAAGTCCTCTTTGAAGTTCAGGTACCGGAACACGAAAGATCACTTATAACTTTGTAGATTCTATACCACAGGGGTAATACTCACACTTAATATATATTTCTGAAACAGGACACGTTGAAGTCGCCGCCATCTGAGGAGAAGACAATGAAGAAAGTGTCCCTGGTGAGTGTTGGAGTAACAACCTTGTGCTTCATGTTGTGTGGATGTGTTGGTTATGCAGCCTTTGGTGACATGTCTCCAAACAATCTTTTAACCGGTTTTGGGTTGTATAACCCTTACTACTTACTTGACATTGCCAATGTTGCCGTTGTGGTTCACCTTGTACGTGAGTACCAAGTCTCTTGCCAACCAATCTTTGCCTTTATCGAGAAGCAAGCTTTGGTTCGGTTTCCCTCTAGCGACTTCATCGCAAAAGATATCGGTTTCCGCATCCCGGGTTTTAAACCCACAAGTTTCAATCTTTTCAGGTATAAAACTAGTTTCATGATTGAGTGGTGTCGATCATCTTTGGACATAAAATTAATATGTGAATAGCATTTTTGTATGGTTTCTATAGGTTGATATTCAGGACGGTGTTTGTGATGATAACCACCTTGATCTCAATGGTTCTTCCGTTCTTCAACGACGTGATTGGTCTGGTCGGAGCACTCGGATTCTGGCCGTTGACTGTGTATTTTCCAGTGGAGATGTATATTGTGCAGAAGAAGATACCCAAGTGGAGCAAGATGTGGGTTTGCCTTCAGTTCTTCAGTTTCGCTTGTTTGGTCGTGACTATTGCCGCCGCTGCAGGTTCAGTCGCAGGAGTTGTTTTTGAGCCCAAGCCTTACAAGCCCTTCAAAATGGATTAAACTTCTCATTTAATTTTCTTGTGTTATATATACACTTTTACCTATAGTTCGAGTTTCATTTCTCTGTTTCGGGCATTGTTTCTATGAAATCACGCTTTGCTTAAAGATATTATACGTAAAATTAAGGATTGGAATATTGATCTAACCAACGAGCTGAGCTGTGCTTTGTAGCCTATTCTCCGCTAAGTAATTGGTTCTTTGTTAATCTTTTACTATCAAATTAGCATATTTAAATTTTAATACTACTAGTTTTATGATTCCAACACGTTTTTCTGTCGACAAATATGTCAAAGTTCTTTTGGAAAATTTTCAATATCAAATCTTGTCCCATTTGCTAGTTTTAAAAAAACGTCGGATTTATATAATTAAGGGGGTCATTTAGTGTAATAACTACGTAAATTGAATTACAGCTACAC